TTACTATACTATATATGTGTGTGTGTGTGTGTGTGTGTGTGTGTGTGTGTGTGTGTGTGTAAAATAGTATTGAAATAAGATATATATACAGGAATAAAAAGAAAGACAAGAACGCGCAATTCCATACAAAATATCTCGCGACTAAGCAGACAATACCGTGTGGTGAGCCACGTGATCAACATCACCTTTCATTGAAACAGCAGCCGGTAAATTAATACATCGGGGCACTGATTGGCCAATGCCGTCGTCGATCGTAGCCAGCCGCGAACACACGTTATGCTAATTTAATAATTGTCGTTCCTTATAAATTCAACGCTCTCCACTCGCTTCCCCTCTCGCGGTGGCGAGCGAATCGGAGCGGAGTGCAATTGCGTTCGGTACACGCGGCGCACGCACCTAAGCGGAAAAATGGCGTTCAAATGGGAACGCTCTTTATGGGATTTCACGCCCACGATCGATCGAATCGCACGAAAACACAACTGTCAACGAAACATTTCGTGACATTTCGTGACATTTCGCGATATTGTGCGATATCGCGCCATAAAATATCGCCGAGATCTCGCCAGATCGTTTCGAGGATGTATTGGAAATATTGTCCCCAATGTTTCATGAAAGATTGAAACAGATTGTAAAATGAAATTGCCATTGTTCTAAAGTCAATAGTCTGCGAAATTATACTACTTGACTCGAAATGTCGTCATTTAGTATTTTTGCGGTGTGGAAAAAAGTATAGATATGTATAGATATATAATATTTCATTCTCAATCAAATCGAATCTTTTTATTTTCCTTGATCTCGAATGATAGATTAAGGTATATTCTCTGTGCTTCCTTTTCATTAGAACTTTCGCTTGAAGGCTTGCAATTTGAAAGTTCAGATACGAGCGATTCTATTAAATTCGATTTATATCAGCACGAGCAATTAACTGAAGCTCGACGATCTCCGATTGTTCAAGACACGCGATTCCTAGGCAAATTCTTTGATTTCTCCTATCTGATTGCCATTATCTTCCCACGCACGAATTTCCCAGCGCGTATGATAAAGATCGCGATTTGATAACGCGTCAAGATATACGCAAGAAAGCGCGTTTTCTCCGAACGTGCAGTCTCGGAAGTAGAGAAAGAGGATTCCTTTAGAGATTGACATGTATGTGACTTCAGATAATAAATCATGCAAGTCAACGACAACGTGGATACATGTATAGAAAATACCATGTCTGCAATCTGAGAATTCTTTTTTACTGAAACAAGTCCTCAACTCGAATACGAGACAAGAAAGGTTATTCTCTACTTGAATTTCATATTTGGGCATATTAATTTTCAGCATTAAATATCTTGGCAGTTTTAATTTAAAATTCCATTGAGGTAAAAACCACTTAAAATTAATAAGAA